CCCGGGTTCGTGACGTCACAAACCCAGATAAACCCCGCCCTCGGGAACATGCAACGAAAGGGGTCGAGGCCATGCTGCGCTGCTTTAGAGAAGAGGAAGAGAAAACTAGGGGTGCACATAAAAATCTATTCAGATATGAATCACGATTCTGTCTTCTAATGATTCTAAAGAATTCACAAGTTTCAAAATCAATGTTCAAAAGCAGCGGTTCTTAATACTGTTCGTCACGTCACCTGCTTGGCATCTCTCTCTCTCATTCAGATCATCAGCTCAGCTCTGTTCCATTTATACACTTATTTTCACATAGCTATGAGAAGCGTTATACATGGATGCGTGTGCAGTTGCCGTACTGTATTAAAGCTTTAATCAGGATAAAACCGTATATTAAAAGCTAACAGAAGCAGTAGCATTCACAAATAACAGCGTATCTAAAAGTATGAGACAACAACAAACAAACATTCCATTAAGAGCCGTAATTGCACAGGTTCTGCGCGATCTTTTTCACTAATATCCTCTGGGTCTCAATCGGGCTCAAATTGATAAGCAATATCCACCTTTTTCTTCAATGCGGAAGTAAGCCTATGGGTGAGACTTCCGGTTCAATAGCCGCTATAGGGAAATAACGAGAAGAATAACAACGTGCAGTAAATGGTAAAACTGTTTGCACTACAAACCAGTGTGTTCATAATTAAGATAATACATTAAAATAATATGATAAGACCAACTTTCAATATCAAGCAGCAAAACGAACTGTTTTGTTCAGCTAAAAATAGCTGGACAGAGTGGACGTAGATGAGACCGGAAGCCAGACCCATAGAATTTACAAATGGCCACGCCCATTTTTACGACAAGAAAAAGGTGGATAGACGACGCCATTGTTTACTATACAACCGGAGCACATGCCGCTGAGGTGAGGGGCGGGACATTCAGACTGCACCAGAGGCGGTTTAGCCAATCACAACACACTGGACTAGCTAACCAATCAGAGTCCATCACGTATTTCTGAGGGAGGGGCTTCATAAAAGCAGGAAATGATCAGCGCGTTAGAGAAGAGACAGAGCGGTGAAGAATAAAGGTAAATATATGTGAAAAATAATGCGTTTTTTTTTTAAACAAAGCATGAACACATGTTAGACTGGCCTAGAACAAAACCAGTCAACCACTCCTTTAAGCAAGACACTGTTTTCTTGTTCGAGCCACATGTATATGCACAATGTCCAGATGGCCTTGAACCTCTGGAAACTCTACTAACTCTAAAGAATGGAAGTCGTCCAGTGGTCAAGATCAGTGTGCAGAACATCACAGATCATGATATCAGGCTTGCAGGGAAAACTGAGCTTGGGTCAGTACAGTCAATGAAGTCTGTATTACCAGTGGCAGCATCACATTTTGCAATAATGGCCATGATCAGTGAGGTTAAAAAAAAACACTGGCAAAAAAAACTCAAAGTCTGGGGTTCCCTGACTTCTTTCAGCCATTCATACTTCACATGATTTGCACAATCAAGGCCTGGGTGCTGTCTTGTATCAAAATCAAAACGGCAAGTTAAGAGTAATAGGTTATTGCTCAAGAATCTTGACAGCTGCAGAGAAAAACTACCACCTGCACAGTGGAAAACTGGAGTTTCTAATCCTCAAATGGGCTATAACAGAAAAGTTTCGAGACTACCTATATTATACACCTACCTTCACCATGTACAGTGATAACAAACCCCTTTGTTATGTGTTACCTTTGTCCTCTACAAGGTTAAATGCCACACTGCAAAAAAATGCTTTTCTATCTTAGATCTTTTGTCTTGTTTCCAGCCAAAATATCTATAAATTCTTAAATCAAGAAGGATTTTCTAGACAAGTAAAAATTATTGTCTTGTTTTCAGAAAAAACAAGTCGAATTGAAGTGAGTTTTTGCTTGAAACAAGCTAAATAATCTGCCAATGGGGTAAGAAAAATCATCAAACAGAAAACAAGATGTTTTTTCTTACCCCTTACTTGTCTAGAAAATCCTTCTTGATTTAAGAATTTTTAGATATTTTGGCTGGAAACAAGACAAAAGATCTAAGCTAGAAAAGCATTTTTTGCAGTGCACTGGATGCAGATGGGTTGCTGAACTTGCAGACTTCCATTTCACCATTCGCTATCGCCCAGGTCAAGAGAATGTAGATGCTGATTCACTATCCAGAATGCCATTTAATATAGAGACAGTAATGTGAGAATGTACAGAAGAGCTTTCAACAGAGTGTGTGGGACCCACAATACAAGTTGTGGAGGTCCAGAACGACCCAGATCCACCACTTAGTCTGTCAGGGTGCACAGGCATGCAGGGAAATTGATGATGAACATTACAAATCATTATCAAAAGAGGAGATTCAGGAAGCACAAAGGGATGACAAGAATGTCAAAGAAATCATAGACTACTTGCTTCTTCAAAGCAGTGGCAGTCAGCCAATCCTATTTAGAGGTCTAATGCGTGAGTAGGACAAGCTGTTGTTGGACAAGTATGGCATAATTTAGCGTAAAACATCACAACGAATGCAGCTAGTGTTGCCTGCCCAGTTTAAGAGTACAGTATTGTCTTGAGAGAGCTACGTGATGAGATGGGCCACCAAGGCACAACCAGCCTCGTCAGAGAGTCATCACACCAAAAAACGTGTAATTTGTGCATTAAAGCTTTTTTTTTTTTTTAATTGGGCAACAAAGTCTTACCGTATTTATAGAAAGTGCACAAGGATTTAACTTCTTGAAATTCACAGCCAGTTTAATAATGATGTGAATTTGTGCTTCTGCTCACTCAGCTGTTCAATGAGGCAAATAATTTCTGTTCTAAATAGCCTAGCTAAAGCAGAAATAAGGTGCTATCAAATGTTACAGAGTGAACTTTTTCATGAACTAAGCAACTGGTTTTAAAGGAGATTTGTGTTGGATTTATTTATTAAAAGCTCTTGCTTTCCCTGCTTATTTGTGTTGTGAGTACAATGCATTCTTGATCATTGCTATGCTGGAAACATAATAGAATCATTATCAAAAGAGGAGATTCAGGAAGCACAAAGGGATGACAAGAATGTCAAAGAAATCATAGACTACTTGCTACTTCAAAGCAGTGGCAGTCAGCCAATCCTATTTAGAGGTCTAATGCGTGAGTAGGACAAGCTGTTGTTGGACAAGTATGGCATAATTTAGCGTAAAACATCACAACGAATGCAGCTAGTGTTGCCTGCCCAGTTTAAGAGTACAGTATTGTCTTGAGAGAGCTACGTGATGAGATGGGCCACCAAGGCACAACCAGCCTCGTCAGAGAGTCATCACACCAAAAAACGTGTAATTTGTGCATTAAAGCTTTTTTTTTTTTTAATTGGGCAACAAAGTCTTACCGTATTTATAGAAAGTGCACAAGGATTTAACTTCTTGAAATTCACAGCCAGTTTAATAATGATGTGAATTTGTGCTTCTGCTCACTCAGCTGTTCAATGAGGCAAATAATTTCTGTTCTAAATAGCCTAGCTAAAGCAGAAATAAGGTGCTATCAAATGTTACAGAGTGAACTTTTTCATGAACTAAGCAACTGGTTTTAAAGGAGATTTGTGTTGGATTTATTTATTAAAAGCTCTTGCTTTCCCTGCTTATTTGTGTTGTGAGTACAATGCATTCTTGATCATTGCTATGCTGGAAACATAATAGAACCCCAGTTTGGCTCAGATATCTTAGTTAAAGAGTAACCATGAACTTTAGTGAAACTATTTTTCACATTTACAATAATTCTCTCACTGCTCTTTAAATTAAATTCCCAATGACCATATCTGAAAACTATGCAGTCTTTATACAGAAGTGTCATTCAAGCATAACCAAAGCTCATTTTAAACTCATTAAGGAAACCCTTTTGATTAATAAATGACTCTAGATATCTGGTTCATTTGCTTTGTCCTTTTTAATGTTTAGGTAATTCAGCATAACCAGCGGCAACTGTAAGATTAGTGCTGCACTGATAAACCAATTTGTCCTCTGAACATATGTACCGTTTTGTCTTATCTTAGAACATTTTTCCTAATGAAATGTTGTAAATGAAGCCATGCACTTGGCTATAACCAGCTCTGTTGTTTCCTTAATTAAGGATTCAATGCCACCACCACGTGGTTGAAAATGATAATGCAGTGCTGTCTTTTGATCATGAATCTTTAGGCGTGACCCTGAGCTGACATGTCTGTCAGTACAAGATTAAGGCTTCAGTTTTGGAGAGTGAAAAGACATAAAAATTAAAACATGAGGATAATATTGTGTTATTATTTAAATTAAGAGATTGCAGGATTGCTTGTTTCTGAAATGCCAACAAGGCCTATGGATTATTTAATCTACAATGTAAAATAATACAGAGGTCTCATATTTCTAGTAATGCAACTCATGCTATCCTTCATGTACTGCTGAGCAATTTCTAACCCGCTTTGTTCAGACACCAGAACTTTTATTATTTATTGTGCAGTCTTCGCTTCTTTCATAATTGATGCTTGCATAGCCTGCAATGAGCATTTCTAATGGGTGCCGGAGCTGAATGTGCATATACATGTATGATAAATCATGGCTGAATGGGACTACATGGGCATATTTATTATGGATAAAGAAGTACAATTTTGTATTTCTTTATGCACTTTTAGCTGTATTACACCAAGAATTACTCTGACATTTTGTATGTACGTATGTTATCATCAGCTACATTGGTTCTGTTCATTTCATAGATCCTGTCTGGAGCTAAAAAGTGATTTATTTTTATTTTATTTTGTATTTTATTATTATGTTTTATTCATCAAATCATTAAATATCGCTAAACATATTTTTATATGTTCTAAAGTAGTTGTAATAATTTTAATTGAAAAATAACTAAATAATATTGACAAATATTGAGATACATGTGACGCACATAAAAACATCATGCATAAAACAGCCATTTAATCTCAAGGGACCCTTGATAGTGCTGGGAGGGGCACTCCGTGTCCCAGTGCTGCTTTTGCGGTGCTTCTGCCATCATATCTCCCCAAATTTATGTAAAATTAATTATAAAATGCTGTTCAAGTGATATCATCATTGTGAATACCGTTAAGGAAGACGGAGCTTTATGCAGTTGATGCAGTGATGACAGACACAGCTAGTTTAGCTATTCAGATAAAATAATCCATAAGAGATTATTCGTGCTTCATAGGTTACTGTATCCAATGATACCCCAGCGCTTCCAGTAACCACCGTCTTCTGATGTAGTTTACCATATAAAATGAATATAAATCAATGGGAGCTGTGCATGAGCGGGCTGCACCACTGCTGAAAAAGGGGGAGACGCAATTAGTCACCTTGTGCGCTCCTCTCCGTTGACAACCTCCTGTACATTAAACCGGGCGCGCGACAGCCTTTCACTTGGAAGTGCGCGTGAAGGGACAACAGCAGCCAATCTGATTGAACACACGCACTCTTTCCCTCAGAGCGCCGTTCTGCTGACTCAGTGCCTTATCAGAGCGAACCGGTTCCTCGCCAACGAACAGACCAGAGACGCACCAGTCGCCGCAACAACTCCAGCCATGGCCAAAACTGCGATCGGTAAGACGAACCTTCCTTCATTTTGTTCGCCGATCCGTGTCTCTTTGATGCTGAGAGATGCACAATAGACCCTGATGCAGGAGAATCAGAGGTCTGTCAGATGAAAAATTATTTTAGATAGGCTAGATATATAAATCTGCTTTCTCCTTCCACGCGTGCTGTTTTATTTTCAAATATGGCTGTGCGGTTTGCTTAAAAAACGGGGACTTTATAAATGAGAAAAAGCATTAAATGGTTTGCATATCTCTTAAAATACACCGACACATGCTTTAAAAAGCCTTAAAATGATTTTCTTATGTGTCAGTGCACCTGCCGGCTCATGCATCTCCAGCATAATGCAGAAGGACCCCACCCAAAGATCCAGCTCTGTGTTTCAGCCTCCAGAAAACCCTGTAAAGCCTGGCAATACCTGACTCAGAACAGTTTAAAGCTTTTGACATCCTCTATACATGACGTGTTTTATTTTCAAATATGGCTGTGCGGTTTGCTTAAAAAACGGGGACTTTATAAATGAGAAAAAGCATTAAATGGTGTGCATATCTCTTAAAATACACCGACACATGCTTTAAAAAGCCTTAAAATGATTTTCTTATGTGTCAGTGCACCTGCCGGCTCATGCATCTCCAGCATAATGCAGAAGGACCCCACCCAAAGATCCAGCTCTGTGTTTCAGCCTCCAGAAAACCCTGTAAAGCCTGGCAATACCTGACTCAGAACAGTTTAAAGCTTTTGACATCCTCTATACATGACATTTTTATCCTTTTCATCAAATGAGCTAGATGTGGCTGGTAAATTTATTGCCAAACAAAGCTTAAATAGGGAAATACAGCATGGTAATGAATTAGGCTGTTTGAAATAGCTTTTTTATCAATGTTGGTATGTTTGTTATAAAGGCTATATTCCTTCATTTTTTGCCAATTATCACAAATGATAGGTTGGTAATTGGTTTATTGCCAGTGGTTTTTCGCTGATTTGAGAGCATGACTCATTAGCCGGTGGGTTTATTAAAGAATGGCTGCATTTTTATTTGATCTCATTTATAATGGGTATATAAGAATATATTCCCACACCTACAATGGCATATTCAGTCTACCAGCACACGTCACATGTTTATGTTTAACCCAATTAATAATTCAAAAAAACCTCCTTGTTGATTAAACACAAGTTTTTAAGGTGTAATTGTGGATTTGCATGTACATCCTTTCGTTCACACCATTTCTAGCGCTGTATGAGAGGCAGACTGCAGTATCAGATGATTGATGTTTTAAATGGAAGTGTGTCAGGGCTCAAGTCGTCTCGCCGGTAAGCATGTCTCAGTGCTGTTGTGATTCTGGATTATGTTGTAGGCGGCCAAATTGGGGCATACCATAGACAGACAAGGTGTGCATCGGCTTTATCGCGTCTTTGCAAGATGCCTGCAGGGCAGGGCATTGGTGGACTGTAGCTGAATGTCTCCGTTCTAGCTGTCATCTCACTTAGAATGTTAAATGACAACTTGAAGAGACATTTATTTTGTGGAAAACCACTTATGTGCACTTGATCCTGCCATGCAATGCAATTACACGGAGCTGTGTCTTTAGGATATTTCATTTCATTTCACAGAACACACAAGAAATGCACCGACAAATGCCTGTGGGAATCCTCCTGCTAATGAGAAAGAACATGTCAGTCAATATAATCAATACACTTGGAATATTTATAGGGCTTAAAAGAGCCGGCAGGAAGACCTTGGTGTGTTTGTCAGCACCATTTATACCTCTAAAGTCAACCAGATCAAAATAAGAAAATTGGATAATTAGCCACAATTTCATTGTCAGAAATACATATCATATATAAAAAAAGAGCTGACAGGTGCCTGTCTTTGTCATATATACTTTATAGATCTCCTAAACGTAACCCCAGTTTATCATCTATGGTTACTGGATTACTGAAGACAGTATGACTAATCCAATCAAACTCCATTAATCATGAACCTAAAGTTCAAATATACACATTCAGCAATGCTGCACAACAGAGGGGTGCGGCTATTGCTTTTTAAGATTAATGATTTTTTTAGGCTTTAATGTCAACTATATGATATGATATATATATATATATATATTAGTCATAAAAACTAATTTTAAGTTAAAAGTTTCATAAGGACTCAAGCCAGTTTTACTCATTAAAATGAAGTGAAGTGGTTTTAGTGTGAACGGATGATATTTACTGAACATTGAGAGATCTGGAGGGGCATTTGCCCGTGCAGCTGCAGTGGACAGAGAATATGTGTGAGAGAGAAAGCGGGAGGTGGGAGGGGCAATTATTGATTTCCAGGGTGGGCATGCTGATGCATTATCAAACAAACCACACAAAGGACATTTCGCTCGTCCACTGGCCCGTAAATTTTGAGCAACGCACATTTCTATTCTACTTCATATTTAGTGGTGGTTCAATACATGGTCTGCATCACTGTAGTGCATGATAGTATGATTTATTAAGTCATAATCAGTCAAGCACAGAGAATAAGAATTACTTAATGTAAAAATTAATAGTATGTTAAAATTAATTATTAAACTATATATATATATATATATATATATATATGTGTGTGTGTGTGTGTGTGTGTATTTATTTATATATATATATATTGTAATAGGTGTATAATATACTATGTATAATACATACAGTATGTAAACTAGTGCATGCAAGTATTATGTATAAGAATCAGTCACAAGAAAAACATTTAGTTCATGTAAAAATTGTAATTAGATTAAATGAGTATGTAAAGTTAATATTAGATTATCTTATGTAAACTTATATGCAATGCATACATACACACACACACACACACACACACACACACAATAATATATAATTAGATTAAGTGATTTTTACAGTTGTGCCTGATTGTAAAAATGAGTGCATAAAAGTATGATATATAAGAAATAGTTATGCCAAAATACAAAGAATTACAATTACTTACTGTAACACAATGTAATATTTTATTGTCCCATTACATCAATAATCAATGTATTTTTGACCAGTTGCCACAATATCTACATCTCAAGCCAAGGGTGTGGTCTCCAGACGGCAAATACTCTTTTCTAATAACAAACCTGATATTTTCCAGCAGAAGCTCTCGGTCAGAGCACACTTTTGCACACATACAGATGCAGTCGTCTGTGTGAGATCCTTTTCACCTGCTCACCAGCCGGCTGACCTGAATTACTTGCTTCAGTGAGCTGTCTATCGTCCTTATCTCACTCTGACTAGACAGCAGGAGAGAAATGCTTTCCGAGGTCTGGGAACACTCAAAATCACAGCACTAAACCTCCATCGCCACCCCCTCAATTTACCGGAAGAAATGGTTTGCTCCAGTAATTACTAATTAAAGCCCCCTACACCAAAATGAGCCAGCCAGAGGGCTTTTAATCCTGGCGGGAGTGAACACAGTGATTCTCTCACTTCTTTGCTTCCCGGGTTTCTCCATCCTCTATTTGTGAGGGATTAATAAGCTCGTAAGGGAGCGAGAGGGAGTTGATCAGATTTTTCCAGGCTCCTCTGGGCGGAGAGAGTGAAGAAAGTAGGTTGATGCTGGAAAGCATAATAGCAGTTTGAAATCCAGCTGAAAAAACCCCCCAAGCGTTCACAGTTTTGATAACATCAACACAGCGCTGCCGTCAAGACATTGATTTATAACTTAAATGCACTGGCCTTGATAAATGCTGCCTTGTGTGTTCAAGGAAAATCAGATACATTAATATGCTTCACGTAGCATCAGCCATCACTGATGTTTGTATGATTTAGGCTTGTTTGCACTTAATGCTGAAAAAAACAATTCTGAAGTTGTGGATGAGGAATGATTGGGGTAGGATCAGTGTAGCCGTCATAAACTGCCATCTGGAAATCTGTCTGGCCTTGTGTTTTCTCTGGTCTTGCCGACTCACTCCCCGCACACACACCCTCAGTAGTCAGAGTAAAAATGGATTCTAATAAATAATGTAACCCTAAAGGTTGGACTGTGGGGGATGGTGGAGCTTGTGGTGAACATTGTCTTGTAGGAAACCAGAGCATGTAAGGACACGGCTGCTGGTTTTTCCTTAGAAAGCTCTAATGAAAACATAGTGCTGTTAAGGCTTGCATGCTTTATTGATTGATTGATTGATTTTGTACTCTGTGATCCCCCACCACCCAACCTCTTAGCCAAACACGGGACCCTCTACTATTTTCTATTTTTATAAAACATTAAAATAATATCAAACATTAATATCTGTATATATTAAATATATTAATTTACACACACTACACACACACACACATGTATGTATGTATATATGTATGTAATATATTAGTTTTATAAAGTCAGTGGACTTGTTTCGGTATTTTCTGCAATGCAATTTTAAATAATCGTTTATACATTGACTATTAAAATGTTTACTATTACTTTTTTCTTAGAGATACAGTACAGTAGCTTTCAATAGTAACATTATATCTATCTATCTAGCAATGTATCGATCTATCTATAGTATGTAGAGTAATTTATATGTATAATAGTAATAATAATAATAATATATTAAATATACAATTTTATATATATATACATTTTAAATAATTTTAATATATATTTTAATTGTTTTGTATTTTATTAATGTAATTTTTTTAATATTAAAAAAAATTATATACAATATAAACATTTCTAAAATCACACACACACACACACACACACGTCATGTATACAATGTATGTTTATATACATACATATACATACACACACACACACACACACACACACACACACACACATTACATTATGTAATATTTGTATACATTTACTGTATATCTATATATATTCCAAAATGATTCTTTAGCTAAATTTTTCTCAGTACATATTCCACTAAAATTTAGTATTTTATATTAGACTCACTACTTATTCTACAAAAATTTAATATTTTATGTTAGTCAGTGTACCTAGATGATTTGGGTTATTTTCTGCAACATTAACGATGCAGTTTCGAATAATCATTCATAAAACAGCGAGAGAGAATCTGGGTCAATATTTTGTTTGATGTGTCTCCCCGCAGCATACAAAGAGAAGATGAAGGAGCTCTCCCTCGTCTCCCTCATCTGCTCCTGTCTCTACCCAGAGGCACGCAAGAACATCATGGGCGAGTTTGAAGGTAGGAAATGAAAATATAATACCGGTAATGAGAAGCAGTGTAGAAGGAATTTACAATAATATGTTGTGCTTTATAGTGTTCATTCTGTCTGATCTTCATAATATAGCTTTTTATTGGCCTGTATGTGTAGCAGCAATACTACACATTTATTATTGTAACAGCTAATATAGATCAATAAATGTCTGATAAATGGTCAGGATGGCTGTTTAACAAAGTTATACGAGCTCATTTCATGAGCAGAAGGCAGTTGGTGCATTTTATTGCATGGATCCGGATGCTCATACCTCACCAATGTGTAGAGGAATATTTACTGCCTGACATACTGCAGTTAATACACAGCATATATTTTACTTTATGTCTTGTGTGTTTAGACATGGAGGTTAAGCCCATTAACAAGCGGGCTTCTGGCCAGGCCTTTGAGGTCATCCTCAAGCCACCCTCTCCCACGGCTGACGGCTCCTACAGCATCACTACACCTCCCAAAAAGAGGGACATGTCCCTGGAGGACATCCAGAAGAAGCTGGAGGCAGCAGAGGACAGGAGGAGAGTGAGTTGCCCATTAATTTGTATTATATATCCATGTAGCTTATGTTTGATGTTTGCTATTTATTTATTTATTTAATGCCCTTACACTTTTATTTAATGTGAACTGATAAACAGATTATTCCTATGACTCTGCCCCGCTCTTCCTCTCCAGTCCCAGGAGGCTCACGTCCTGAGGGCCCTGGCTGAGAAACGTGAGCACGAGCGGGACGTCCTGCTGAAAGCCATGGAGGAGAACAGCAACTTCAGCAGGATGGCGGAGGAGAAACTCATCATGAAGATGGAGCAGATCAAGGAGAACCGTGACGCCCACATTGCAGCCATGCTGGAACGACTGCATGAGAAGGTACTTACACTAAAAACTTCAAAAGTTTGGGGTCAGCAAGATTTCTTAAAAATATTTTTATGTTTTTGAAAGAAGTCTCTTATGCTGCATTTAATCACAAATACAGAGAAAACAGTACAAAAAATACAAGTAATATTGTAATATATTATTACAATTTAAAAAACTTTAATTTTCTTTCATTTAAATTTTTTTTTTAATTATTTAATGTATTTTAAAATGTAATATATTCCTGTGATGCAAAGCTGAACCAGTCTTCATTTCAATATGCTGATTTGTTGCTCAAGAAACATTTCTTAATATTATCAATGTTGAAAACAGTTGTGATGTTTAAAGGTGACATATTATGCCCCTTTTTACAATATGTAATATAAGTCTCAGGGGTCCCCAGAATGTAACTGTGAAGTTTTAGCTCAAAATACCCCACAGATCATTTATTATCATTTTGAAAATGCCTATTTTGAGTGGAAGCAGAAACAAGCTGTTTTCCGGGCCTGTGTCTTTAAATGCAAATGAGCTGCTGCTCCCCGCCCCCTTTTCCAGAATAGAGCTGCACCATTACAGCTTGGACCTGCTAAAAACATCTGTTTTGGTTCTGATTATCATGTTTATCGCACTGAAATCATGCGTTTTAAACCAGAGTTTAAACTTCTGATATAAGGTTTTCTGAGCGCACACATCCGAAGCACACGTACAGAAAGCTGCTGTCACAGCATGTGAGTACTAAACTAAGTTCTCATTCACACACAAGTTTACGTTAAAAACACGAGTTACAAAAACAGTCGGTTATGTCTGTGAAGGTAAACAGCTGGGAAATAAATTGCATGTTTATTTTAGTTTATCTGTGTGGCAGCAGCAATATACAGTAGCCTAAATAAATCAATAAATCCACTGCTCTCTTGTCTCCTCTGAGGCTGGGACTCTAAACAGTGTTCTGTGCTCGTCTGTGCAGACAAAGATGATTGCATTAGCATGTTTTGCTCAAACTTTCGTCATGGCATTAGAACTAGTACACTGTTGTCACTTCAAATAATGGCGCCATGGCTGGAAACTTACAGATTAAGGGGCGGTAATATTATAATGAAATCCCTTTGCGCCGTCACTAGGGGAGCGAGATCAGACATGCTCGTTTTTTCAGACACTTGCAGAAAAAAGCTTATCAAAACAAAGTTACTGGGTTAATCTTTTTCACGTTTCCTTGGTTGGTAGATGCACCAGGGACCTGATTATAGCACTTAAAACCTGGAAAAGTCAGATTTTCATGATATGTCACCTTTAGTATTTTATGTGGAAACAGTGATTGATTTTTTAAGGATTCTTTGATGAATAGAAAGTTCAAAAGAACAGCATTTTTTTGGATTTAGCATTTAGGCTTAATAATATGAATTAAAAAAAGAACACAAGAATTCAAATTAAATGCATAATTTATCCCCTTCTTGAGAAACTGGCATGCTGTAACTGTGAAAAGTTATCTGACACTGTGATTTTTACAGGATAGAAGATAAAATTTATTCAATCAATAAATAAATCAATAAAAATCTGATTTTCTGTCACAAGTAGACGCTACAGCACAATAAAAATATTTCAATGTGACGTAGGCTACATAAGAGTGCTGCAAAAGGCATTTTAAAATACGAATGTTGTTCATTTTAATCAACAGTATATCAACTTTAAGCTATAAACTGTAATGTTTATGCTAATCAATTTACTGTATTACGTATTACTATGTGCTTTCAGGAGAAGCATGCTCAGGAGGTGCGCAGAAACAAAGAGCTGATGGAAGAGTTGACAGCATGAGCACATCTCTTTACACCCACTGTCCCATTACCCCACACCACCCCCTCCCCATACCTGCGACCTCCCGTCCCCAGAAAGACCCCCTCTCACCCTGCCACCACTGCCCCGTGTAGAAAAGAGCCTCTGGCACCCCACCCAGGCTTATGTATGTATATCCGCCTGTGAAGAGCGAGGCTGACTGGAACATTTCAAACACGCCAACAATTCTGGACGATAAAAACATGAATGTAGTTTTCTTTGACTTTTTACACATAACGTTCTAAGACTGTGAGGTTTGCCCTGACAACATTTTAATTTAGATGTCTGTAAATATGGTCATGTTGTAACAAAAATATGTAATCATTTTGATTGGAATTGCACCAGTTTTAAATTTTTGGCTGATGCCTGATAATTTTCATGTAAGGGCCAATAATAAAAAAAAAATGGACAAATGTTAAAATTATAATTAATTAGATAATTTAATTAAATGATTGTCAATGAATTAAAAATAAAACACAAAAAACTAAAACCAATCATTTTAAATGCTACAGCTGAATTTATGCATCACAACATTATAATGTACAGTATAAAAAAATAGACATTCATTTTGAGATTTGTCAAAAATGCACAAATTTTAAATTTCTGACTGATACCAATAAGCTGATAATGATTTTTTATGTAATGGCCAATAATAATAAAAAATGGCCAACATTAAAATTATATTCTGTTATAATTTTTAATTATAATATTAAACCAGTTTTTAAAGTCTAAATAAATGTAAAATAAATGTATTTGTTTTTTACATTTAAAGCACTCAAAACTAAACCAATGATTTTAAATGGTTAATTTATGAATTTTAAATGTATATAAAATGCTGAATATTTATGCAAAACATTATAATGTACAGTAAGTTTTTTCATTAGATAGCTTATGTATGTATATCCGCCTGTGAAGAGCGAGGCTGACTGGAACATTTCAAACACGCCAACAATTCTGGATGATAAAAACATGAATGTAGTTTTCTTTGACTTTTTACACATAACGTTCTAAGACTGTGAGGTTTGCCCTGACAACATTTTAATTTAGATGTCTGTAAATATGGTCATGTTGTAACAAAAATATGTAATCATTTTGATTGGAATTGCACCAGTTTTAAATTTTTGGCTGATGCCTGATAATTTTCATGTAAGGGCCAATAATAAAAAAAAAATGGACAAATGTTAAAATTATAATTAATTAGATAATTTAATTTAATTAAATGATTGTCAATGAATTAAAAATAAAACACAAAAAACTAAAACCAATCATTTTAAATTCTACAGCTGAATTTATGCATCACAACATTATAATGTACAGTATAAAAAAATAGACATTCATTTTGAGATTTGTCAAAAATGCACAAATTTTAAATTTCTGACTGATACCAATAAGCTGATAATTATTTTTTATGTAATGGCCAATAATAATAAAAAATGGCCAACATTAAAATTATATTCTGTTATAATTTTTAATTATAATATTAAACCAGTTTTTAAAGTCTAAATAAATGTAAAATAAATGTATTTATTTTTTACATTTAAAGCACTCAAAACTAAACCAATGATTTTAAATGGTTAATTTATGAATTTTAAATGTATATAAAATGCTGAATATTTATGCAAAACATTATAATGTACAGTAAGTTTTTTCATTAGATTGGTTAAAAATGACATTTAACATTTTAAATCTGTAATATCGACTGATAAGTGTTATGGTACCAGTATATACGCATTTGTAATTTTGAATGTATCAATGACAATGTCAAAAATGAAAACAGGACATGAATACACAAGTCCAGGGTTATTAGCTACACATTTCATTTTATTACAGGAAAGTCACACAGGTTAGTGAGGGACAGGCACAGTACCACATCATCTCTTCCAGTACTATCTATTCCCCTAGTCTCATCTGATTTGCCAGTGCAAATTCCCTATTACCACAAAACAATCTGGTTTTCCAAAACACTCCTCAAGTACAGTTAACTAAGAGAGAGAGATGATCTGGTGCATGAAGGGGGGAACTTATGCACGTGAGCAAACAACTCTGCTATGGACAAATCCAAGAGTGCCTTTGCTACAATTAAATTAGTGCAGTTCTGAGAGATTGTCTATCTAGATTGTCTCTGTAAAGGTTTAACAGTGGTCTGTCCCAGCAAACAACTAATTCATAACATTTTAAAGAAATAAACACACACAGCAGGTCACTGGCCAAAATGACTTAAAATCTTTATAAAAATAAAGTACTCATCAAGTTCAGCTGAGGAATACAGATTCAGTTGCATAGTTTCATATACATTTGCAGAGGGACAATTGCAAAACATCAGTGTCAAGTTCATTGCATAGTTTTTCAATTTCATGGAAATGCTGAACATATTTCCTCACAAAATAATTCAAATCCTGCCTGTCATTCTGAAGGAGACGATTTAGGATGCAAATATATGTTTCATGTGATCAAAGCACTTCTTTACTATCTTTAACATAATTAAAGGGATAGTTCACCCCAAAAAAGAAAATTCTGTCATTTACTTACCATAATGTCATTCCTATATTCCTTGTAATTCTTCTCTGGAAGATAAAAGAAGATATTTTAAAGATTGTTGGTTGGTAACCAAATGGTTTTGGGTCCCGCTTGGACAAAAATTCAATGGAAGTCAATGGCACCCAAAACTGTTTGGTTATCAACATTCATCAAAATATCTTCTTTTATCTTCCACAGATTATGGGTGAGTAAATGATGACAGAATTTTCATTTTTGGGGGAACTGTCCCATTAAATGGACATCTGGTTTGAGCTTAACTCCATTAACACCCATTCAGTGATGCATCTCATCTGCTTTTGCTCCAATCTCTCTCTCTCTCTCTCTCTCTCTCTCTCTCTCTATTAGTTTACCTTTCTCCACTGAGGGACAAAAGAACTAGACTTGCTCAGAACTGATGTGCGAGAACCTGACCCTCTCCTAGAACTCATCTCTGCTCAACCTGAGACAGGACAGCTTTAAAAGACAGGGTAACTGGAATAAGTACATCGGATCTGTATTCGTTTTTTCCCTTTGTACAAGTCTGCGGTTCTGCCCATCTCTTCAAAATAGTCAGAAGTTACAGAAAAAGTCATTTCTAACTGACTGTCTGTCCACAGCGTTCATGTGTTCAAGTTCAGAAGGCCCCTATTTCCATGCTCCAAGGCCTGTAGGGCTTCCCCAGGCTGCTGGAGGGAGTCGCGGGGCCCAGCGAACTCGGAGACAGCAGGGGAAATGCACTCAGCGGGAAGGGAAACGCCGACAGGCTCGAAAGTGACGTCAGGAGGGGTGGAGAAAGCTTGGATGTAGTAGGGGGTGTGAGCCCAGGAGGCAGGGAGGAACTGGGCGGCACCCGCAGCGGTCCTGTCTGCCCTGCCTCAGTAATCACCGTGCCAGTCAGCCTGCTGGGGGCATGCGGCTCTGTGGAGGGGGCGGATGGAGATGAGGAGGAGGGTGATGAAGCACTGGAGGATGGAGGGCTGCTGGTGCTGCGCGGCTGCTGCAGGAGGAGGTGGTGAGCCAGGTGTCCGGGCGGCGTCCCGAACGCAGAGCCCCACGCCAAGTGGCCCAAACCAGAGTGAGCTTCTCTCTGGGAGGCATAACTGTTCAGGTGTGAAACCAAGCGGATGCGGAGGGGGTCGGTGTTGTCCAGGCCCTCGATGATGCTGAGGTAACGCGCCGTCTCCGCCAGACATTCGCGGAAACCCAGGCCACGGTAATCCATGGCCAGCGCGTGAGCATCAAAGTAACCTGTGTGAGAGAGAATGAGAGCTGTTGAGCGCTCTGATCTGATAATGATTACAGCTTATGACAGGAAACACTGCAGTTCTCACTGGGAGTGGCTGAGAGTGAAACTGAAATGATGCTAAATAAACAACTGAGATTAAAAGACACTTTACACGTCTAGTTCGTCCTGTTTCGGTCGTGCAGGGATTGGTAATTATTTTCACTGTGGGAATTTCCTTGAGCAGATTCCCAAACATTGGTTGATCTCATAATGCAAGGTTGCATTAAATTTTGTTTGCTAAGACTTTATAATAACTTTTATTATACATAAATCATTAGAAAATAGTATAATGCATAAAAGCATGTACGTTTAAGTAGTGAAACATTTTAAAAAGCTGTAGTACGGTTGCAATATGTAATATAAAAACTTGTAATATAAATATAAAGCTGCATATATATTAATGCTTATTAACCAAATTTATACTCAAAGTGTATTTTCTTTAAAATAAGTGCTAGTTATAAAAATTACCTTTTCCCCCAGCTGCATGAAGCATCTTTAAATGATCAACGGTCATCTGTAAAATTTCTGCTTTTTCTAGTTTGGCAGAGCCCTGAGAACAACAAATGTGTTGATGAGTTAAGAAGTAAGACTAGATATATCATATACAGGGCTCATTGACAAATAAGAATGTTTGGGATGATAAAAAAAAGAAAACACATTTTTTTGTATTAATCCATTTCAAAAACCCATGTGCCATGTTCTTATTTTGGTTTCAAACAGTATATTTTTGGAAACTGTTAATGCTAAAAATGCCATGAATTGTCAAGTGGTCCCAATCAAGTATAAAGTACTCAAATGTTTTCCTTGCACCTTGAATATACGTTTACAAAATTTTCAAATCAATAAATTCTGAGGAGTTGTCTTGCAAAAACCAAGAGATCTTGAGGGTTGCAAGTAGTCCTCTTTCGTTATATGATTTTCTTGTCACATGACAATAAAATGGCTTTCTGCATGTTGGTTATGCCACACTTAAGTTTTATTTAAACATCAATTAAAAATATATATATATTAATAATAATATTTCTAAAACAAAATTGCTTTACTGTTTTTATGAAATAGGCTACTAATACAGGATTGAGCCAATCTAATGCCAGCATTTCCTTTTACAAAAAGTTCAGCTATAATAAGACTTTAAAAAAAAAGCTAGACATCTGAAAGTGAGATGTGAGTCAGGTGCAGTGATTGACACTCACTTGTTTCTCAAACGCGCTGGGCACCAGCCTGCGCAGCTCAGACAGACTGTTATTTATCCGGTCCCTGCGGCGCTTCTCAATGATCTGTTCAAGCCGATTGTGAAATCATTAATAACAG